ACAGCATGGGCATCGATCTACGCCTCTGGGATACACTGACACATATCATGGATCGAACCTGACCACTCGATCCGGTTAGTCGGCTCTTACAAGTATGGGTCAATGAAGACCAGTTATTACCCTGATCTTCCACGGGTTGTTTTGTACTGTCGTGCAACACTCTATTGTATAACACCGTATAACATGATACTATACAGGACCTGTTACACGCTCTGAACAAGTGTACATTGTTGTACTTTTATAGTACACTGCATTGCACTTCCGCTGTGCAATACTTCATTGCATCGTACTATACCGCATTGTATTATACTGTATCGGACTGTACCGCAACACTGTATTGGGCTGTACCGCAACACTGTATTAAGCTGTATCGCAACACTGTATTGGGCTGTATCGCAACACTGTATCGGACTGTACCGCAACACTGTATCGGACTGTACCGCAACACTGTATCGGACTGTACCGCAACACTGTATCGGACTGTACCGCAACACTGTATTGGACTGTACTGCAACACTGTATCGGACTGTACCCCAACACTGTATCGGACTGTACTCAAACGATGCATTGGGCTGTACCGCAACCCTGTATCGGACTGTACCGCAACACTGTATCGGACTGTATCGCAACACTGTATTGGGCTGTATTGCAACACTGTATTGGACTGTACCGCAACACTGTATCGGACTGTACCGCAACACTGTATCGGACTGTACCGCAACACTGTATTGGACTGTACCGCAACACTGTATCGGACTGTACCGCAACACTGTATCGGACTGTACCCCAACACTGTATCGGACTGTACTCAAACGCTGCATTGGGCTGTACCGCAACACTGTATTGGATGTACCGCAACACTGTATTGGACTGTACCGCAACACTGTATTGGACTGTACCACAACACTGTATTTGACTGTATCGCAACCCTGTGTTGGACTGTATCGCAACACTGTATTTGGCTGTATCGCAACACTGTATTGGACTGTACCGCAACACTGTATTGGACTGTATCGCAACACTGTATTGGGCTGTATCGCAACAGTGTTTTGGACTGTATCGCAACACTGTATTGGGCTGTATCGCAACACTGTATTGGACTGTATAGCAGCACTATAGTGGGCTGTATCGCAACACTGTATTGGACTGTATAGCAACACTATATTGGGCTGTATCGCAACACTGTATTGGAATGTATCGCAACACTCTATTGGACTGTATTGCAACGCTGTATTGGGCTGTATCGCAACAATGTACTGTATAACACCGATTTACATGTCACTTTATCTTACCTTTATGTAAAATACTTTAGTGACAATAGTCAATGGCGCTTTAACAAGTTTCACAGGAGAGTGACAACTGGAAACAATATTACCCACTGCCACGGTAACCGTCAAACTCTCCGGCGAGAAGCTGTATCGCTGTATCATAATATGACGTCAGTGTACGAAGTTCGAAAACCTTTCGATAAGCTGTTTTTTAGTTCACTATGTACACATTTATTTTACCGACTTTCACTGCTTTATTAAAACTATTTTGCACCTCGCATCGTTTGCACACTCAAACTAAACATGATTAACCATTTTTATAGCAGTTTTAAGCTTGTGAGAATACGTTGCACTGATTTTAAAAATTCAGACAAGAGGGAGACGCCATTTTGTTTCCTTTTCTTTACATGTTATATAGTCGGTAGCGAGCTTATCGATATTCAAAATAAAATAATATTTTGTACAATTAACATGGCGGTTAGGTAAACACGTTGCAAACTTCTCCCTCGGAAAATACGTCTGATGTTCGCCTTTTTGTAGCAGTGTCATCCCTCGCATCCCGGCCCGGGTGAAACCGCCACAAAGACGGGTACATATACATCGTATTACCCTCGAGAGAAGCAACCAAGCAGTTGATATCATTGTATCACATATGCTGGTGCTAGTTCACCCAGTAGAAAATGGGTACCCGGTGGGACAAGTCATGTGACTATAACCTTCAAGCGCCTCAGGTGCAGTTTGGGTTATCCGGGGTAATGATAACCAGATTGTCTGCGCTTTGAGCAAACGCAAAGGATGGAAAACAGAGCATAATAAATGCACTTATTATTATTAACATACAATAAGTTTCATGAAAGAATAACATGTGTTTGTGCACAGTCTTCCGTGGTGTAGTCGCCTGCATCTGTCTATATATCCTATTATTGACCAAAGTCCTATATTCGCTATGATTCAATCAGTTGATGATTATGAAGGCAACATAAGCACAAACTGACAGTTCACCCAGTCTTAGTCACGTTTAAGTCTGGATTAAACCCGGTGTTTTGTTCCCATGACAACATGGCGTGCCAGGGAGCAGTGGAACCCTAGCGGTCGCCCCACATGCTCCTTACACCGTTACAGATGTCCGAATAGATTTTAATGGCGAAACTGACGCCAGTCCGGCACCGAACCTGATTGATCATAAATTAATAAATGAGTGTTAGTAACTGGGCATTGAGTTCGCAACATCTTAAGCTGTTTTTGCTCTCGGATGCAGAATGGGATAAACATGTAGCTTTGTCGAGAGCGAGAGAGAGGAGAGAGAGAGAGAGAAGCGTTTCCAGGGTGAGTAAGAGAAACGTTCGGGGTGGCGCTGGGCACGTATGGCGAGAGAGGATGGAGAGAGAGAGAGAGAGAGATAGAGAGAGAGAGAGGAGAGAGAGAGAGAGAGAGAGAGAGAGAGAGAGAGAGAGGAGAGAGAGAGAGGGTGGGAGAGAGAGGGAGGGAGAGAGGGGACAGAGAGGAGAGAGCGAGAGAGAGGAGAGAGAGAGAGAGAGAGAGAGTAAGAGAACGTTTCAGGGTGGCCGAGTCCCCTCATGGCGCCACAGTTTGAGAGAGAGAGAGAGAGAGAGAGAGAGAGAGAGAGAGAGAGAGATAGAGAGAGAGAGAGAGAGAGGAGAGTAGGAGAGGGTATGAGAGAGAGAGAGAGAGTAAGAGAAACGTGGCAGGGTGGCTGGGTCAAAAGTCCCATGGCGCCACAGCCTTGGAGAGAGAGAGAGAGAGAGAGAGAGAGAGAGAGAGAGAGAGAGAGAGAGGAGAGAGAGAGAGAGACAGGGGGACAGAGAGAGAGAGAGAGAGAGAGAGAGAGAGAGAGAGAGAGAGAGAGAGAGAGAGAGAAAGAGGACAGATAGGGGGGAGAGAGAGGGGGGCGATTAGGATATACCTTATGTTACTTCTTTTGTCTTAGAGCCGATTTCACCTCACTTTATACTGTATCGTTTACTACTGTAAATACGGTAAATATACTTCCTACTGCTTGTATCACAGCACTCACCTTCTCCTCCTTTGCACAATAAGTGAGTGAGTGAATTTGGTTTTACGCCGCTTTTACCAAGATTCCAGCAATATCACGGCGGGGACAAGAAATGGCCTATATATATGTACAACATTATATAGCAGACTCAACCGACTGCGTCTCCTGCTGTCACCATTCATAATCTTATCGGACTAACGGGACAGGGTGGTCAGGCTCGTTGACTGGCTTCATGCATGGCATCGTATCTCAACTGGGGTAGCCTAGTGGTTAAAGCGTTCGCTCGTGACGCCGAAGGCCCGGGTTCGATTCCCCAAATGGGTATTTCTGATGTCCCCCGGCGTGATATTGCTGGAATATTGCTAAAAGCGCCGTGAAACAATATTTACTCACTCACTCGTATCCCAACTGCGTAGATCGATGCTCATGATGGCAGTCACTGGAGTGTTGATTGAAATTTGAAAATTTACAGACCGCAGTCAGATTGCCGTCAAAGAGCTGGGAAACTGCCGAGTGCGGCGTTAAACAACAGAAACCACAATACTGGCATTTACTTTACTCCACCTTACGGAACAAATTGGCGTCAGTAAAAACACCAGGGATATGACGTATTGCAGTTTGAATGTAAACGTTTAAACGACGTTTATTATAAATGGTTCATTTAAGCTGACAAATCCATACCATTAACTTCTTTACACCAGTGCATCGCTGCTTGTTAAAAATCCCACTTTCTGAATAAATGTATAATCAGTCATAAATTACAATTAATGGTGAATATTTTTTGTAATATTAGAGCAGATGATTGACACCCATTAACATATCCGAACATACGTTTCATTTAAACGACATTAACAAATAAATGGAGATAACTCACATTTCTCTCCCTAAATTTGGTTATATTATTCATACAAATCAATAGCAGTTCTCATGAAGACATGGAACCACGTCTGTTATTCCGCAAAGGAAACTAATGAAAACCAATCTCTTCAAGAAACCTTCAGGGATTAGTTGGACAAGAGACATTAAAACTTCGCACGTGAAAAACTCGTGCAAAATGCAGCGAATCGATATTCGTGGCTCCATTTAATATTCCGGTTATCAAACATCTTACAGGGGCGGTTAATTGCTCCAGAATCGTGGAGCCAGATCCCGAGTCTCGCCACTGGATTGTCGCTTCGTGTGCAAAGTAATCTATCAAGGCGTGTTTTTTTGCCTCATGACCGCCTTTCAGTTGTACTTGGAGTCTCTCTCGTGGACAGTGAAATCATACTCCTATCTTCATCAACGTAAATGGAATAACCTGCACTGGAGGAGCTTCACCATGGAGTGGCCTTGCAGCGCACGGAGAATTTCACTGGTAACGTGAATCAGCTTTTAATATTCGCCATGTTTCTGTTGAGTTAGATCCCCATTAATATATATGTGCCAATGAGATAGAGCGAGCAGTGTGTTCCAGGCTAAATTGTATGTATTATTTATAACAATATCTATTGAAGAATTGTCTCAGCTAATCATTTGTATCGGAAATAAAATGATTTTAGGCTTTTATTAAAAAAAATTTATGTTTACGATTAATTTCACAGCTCGCCGAAGTTTCCAATGACTGATATTGCATATCCTCGACGCTGCACGAGGTAATTTATTTATAGAATCGCATAGCTCGTGAAGGGAGGTAATTCTTGACCCGAGAGGAACCGGACGCACTTACTGAGGTCATGCGCAGTTGTTTATTTTGATTTGGTCCCGCCATGCTAAAATGTCTGTGCCGTCAGATTGGCAAGAATTTCGTCCTTAATCTATAATCCAGGTAATTTTGTGCACGAGCAGATATTTGCAAGAATATCATATTGTTTCTATGCCGCTAAATGCAAGCTGTGAAAAACAACTGCTAGGCACCATGAACTCAGGCGGACGATGTCGTTGGTCATCCATTTTGATAAAGATTCATAAATTCTAGCCTGTCTGCGGATCGTACGATCCTCACTGTTGAAGCGATTGTGGTTATTGTTACAAACCTTTGATTGTGCGCTTTCGCCTGATATTTTTCACTTTTTTATTTTCTAGTAAAGTAAGTTTTTAGCATAGGATAAGCAACCGGTATGTGCATTTGACAGTGACAAAAATCGAGTTTTCCATAAAATACACATAGCCTTCTGCAAACACGTCTGTATGGCGATTTAATAAATTCCTTTCAGTGTCTGTATATGTGTAAATAAGGTTTTTTAATCTGATTTTGACTGATTGTCATGCAACATGTTTGATGAACGTCCTATCAAAAGTTGACAATGAGATTTGTGTCAAGCAAATTAACGGAGTGCAAGAGAAAATTGAACAAGCCATGTCAGGATTATTCCTATTCCTATCAATGTTTTACATTTGACGTTATTTTGCTCTCTGTGACACAAAATATCAGACACGGCTATTAAGAAAGGTACCAAATCACATGGTTTGGCACACCTACAGACCGGATACCTACCAGCCCTACTAACCCTAAGCCTTACCCTAACCCTAAGTATACTGTGTGCAATTGTCTGTCCCCAGTTTGCATTTAAGCTGACTTTCAATAGTACCAATGAAACACTCAAAACACGAGGCGGGTTGCTTGCTGCTTCTCCACATCACGCGTAGACCTTTTATTTTCAAAACAGTTTCCGCGTACAGACTGCGCATGTCCAGTTGTATGCAAATTGGGTTGACACAAAACCATATAACCCAAAACGGAATGCGATTGATCAGGTCAAACACTACACTCAGTAAATTCGCATGTTTTCAAAGATGGTGGAAGGTATCCGGTATTCTGTAGTCTTACCCATGGTTTCCCCTTTCCATAGCACTTAGAATTCACTGTCTTAGTAATTTTTTCTTCTGTCACATATGTATTACACACAAACCTGGAGTATTACTGCCAACCACCAATGTCCAATTTACAGGTATTTGTCAGTATCATTATTTCAAAATGCCTGTAGTGAAGGATGCTGCAAGTATACTGTATTGTGGCTGAAGTGAATTTATAATGGATCATACTAGTTTACCCTACTAGCCTATGGGTAATACTGTTTTAAGGTTCGAAAACTTTGCAGAAGCATAAACAATGTTACCAAACATTGTGGTTAGAGGAGAAGAGTTTCCAATACCATGGTAACACAGAGCCCCATTATTCTATAAATCAGTGTACAGCTTAAGCCTCGTTAATCCGGACGGTTATGTTTCTCAGCAAAATCCGTCCGGTTAATAGTCGGACTACTGAATCAAGACCCAAGTTCAAGCAAGAGTTGCTTCCCTTACTATTACAAAAACGACACGAATCTGGATAAAACAAATAAGCATTTAATGTAAAGCTTATAAAACAATGAATAGCAAGCACAACAATAATCTATAGTCATAGCAAAAAAGTCTTTCATTGTTGTTTGTGTTCCTCGTTTTAACCCTTCCTCATTGAATTCATCACATGAATAATTTTACTGAGAGACATCCGCAGATGTTGATCCGACGTATTCGATCAATGCGCCCTTCCTCAGCACAGGTGAGGTAATGTCTAACAAGCGATCTATTGTAGTATGCCTTGAATGTCCGAATTATTCCTGCATCCATCGGTTGAATATGAGACGTGGTATTTGGTCACATTTCGCAAAGTTAGCGAAGCACATTTGTGACTTGCAGCGTTGTTGAGAAGCAAAATCACTTAAGTCCACGTGACCGCATCTGTCTGTCAAAGTACATTAACCAATCACAAAATAGCTCACTTGTCATCCACGCCTTTGTATTGTGGTGTCAATCAAAGTGTAAATGTACACACAGACAGTCTTTGCTTCTTTTGAACTTGACAACCATTACAACCATTTTTCGAAATAATCGCCGACCCAGAGGCGATTAGTGATTTCTGACCTTCCGTGACATGTTAAAACAATTGCATGCATTGTGTGTCGTCTATGTACCCTATTTATGAGCATGAAGACAGACTTATTTTCATTTTACACTTCGCAAAATTGTGATTTAATATGGGAAATCTATATCAATACCTTTTGCTACCATGGGCTTGTTGTGTGAAATGTTACCTGCACTGAAAGGCGTAAACAACTTGGCCAAATCATATGTTCTGATTAATCAGCAAGCTACACAAATAATACTTGCCTTCGTAGGCCAAATAAGAAGACCGCCTCCGTGGTGTAGTGGACGAAGAGCTCCGTACCAGAGAGGCCGGAAGGTCGCTGGTTCAATCCGACCGCTATCTCATACCAAAAAGATCGACAAAATATGGTACATGTTGGTCCTGCCTGGCTCAGCATTAATGGGTACAACAAGGACTGGTCGCTCGGGAGTCAGTATAAATGTGTCTGAGTGGGGGTATTCATACTTCACTGCGGCATGGTATCTCAGTGGGTTAGCACTATAAAACCAGCTTCAGTCTGGGCTAGGTGCAAGCAGCCGCATATTACATGCATGCACGCCATCATATGGCTGAAAATATTCTCAAGCACTGACGTTAAACCTAATTTTCACCTCACCCTCACCACATGTCATTACAAACACTGAATACTGATCAGATAGCATTAGGCATACCTAAATCACTTCACACCCTGTGGACTACACAGCTAAGCCGTATGTCTGTAAAATATGTAAATACATGAGTTATAAGAAAGGCATGATGCTAACTTTATGGACAACACCCTCCTTATTATGTTATGATGCAATATTTCAGTATAGATTCCTATGCTGTTTTCACGCAAACATTAATGAGTTGTATCCAATTTATGTATATAAAATCCATTAATGTAACCAGGTGTGTATGTGTAAGTACTAAATGTGATTATTTCAGCATTTGTACTTCACTTCTTGTAGAATATTGAAAATGTAATTTGCAAGTTGCATATTTGGTATCTACCATGCAAGCTGTTTGTTCCATATCTGCCGCCTCCTTCGTGGTGTAGTGATTAGAGTGTCCACCCGGAGAGCGGAAGGTTTGATCCCTGGCCGAGTCATACCGAAAGAAATATTGTACTTGTTGTTCCCTGCCTGGCATTCGGCATAAATAGGTACAACAAGATCTGGTCGGCTCGGAGTCAGTATATTGTGTCTGAGTGGTGTATTCATGCTTCACTGCGGCATGCTATCTCAGTGAGGTAGCACTATAAAACTAGCCTAAGTCTTGACTTGTACAAACAAACACACATACACATCGTCATATGAGTGAAATATTCTTAAGTACAACGGTAAACACCGTTTCATTTCACTTTGTTCCAGATCGTTTCCTCCTCAAGATGAGTATGGTAGGCCTGTCTACTCAAGCGCCCACGTCGGCTGACGCATGTCTCAGCATCGTGCATAGTCTCATGTGCCATCGCCAGGGTGGAGAGAGCGAGAGTTTCGGCAAACGAGCCATCGAGAGTTTGGTGAAGAAGCTGAAGGAGAAGCGGGACGAGCTAGACAGCCTCATCACAGCAATTACAACCAACGGGGCACACCCCACCAAGTGTGTCACCATACAGAGAACTCTGGATGGCAGATTGCAGGTATGAGGAAATGAGTGAGTCAGTTGAGTTTTACGCCACAGTCAGCAATGTTCCAGCTATATGACGGCGTTCTGTAAATAATCGAGTCTGGACCAGACAATCCAGTGATCAACAGCATGAGCATTGATCTACACAGTTGGGATATGATGACATGTGTCAACCAGGCCCCGGGGTCATGAAAGTGACTTAAGTCTAAAAATTGCTTAAATATGTCATTTTGGTCTTAAGTCCAAAAAACTGTCTTAAATCGGAGATCACGTACATTTTTTAGTCTTAAAAGTTAAGACTAAGATCGTTTTTTGTCTTAAATCCTGAGACTGCTACCTACCAGTCTTAAGTCAATTTTATTCCTAGCAAACATGGCGGAGGTGATACGCGCTTTATGGCGACTTGTTAGACAGAAGGAAAGGAAAGAGCGAATCCCAAGAAAATTTAGGGATAGATTCAACCCTCTCGAATGTTATGGGGACGAGGAACTTTTCCATCGGTATCGCTTTTAGGCGATCAACAATATTTTTTGGTAAACCTCATTAGTGGACAAATTGCACACAAGACGCGAGGAGATCTTTAAGCCTTCCACCTGTGCTGCAGGTGCTAACCTTTTGCAGTTCGTAGCAACAGGGGCATTTCTTTCTATGTGCTTTGTTGGTGAAGCTTATACATCAGCAAGTCGACGGCGGTAGGTGTGTTCGAGAGTGGTCGATGCCATTTGTCGCCACGCCACCCTTTTATCAAATTCCCAAGTGGCTAGCTGTCTACTAGATCGAAAAGGAAGTTTCACGCTAATCGCAGAGTAATTAATTATTCTTTAGCACAATGATTCATAAATATAGATTTACAATTACTCTATAATATCGAACAATAATTTCACTTTCAAAAACAGACGCCATGACACTGTTGAAATGCCCGGCTCGACTAGAGTGGACGCCCCTTGATTGAGACAACGCATTCAGAATCATTCAAAAATCGCACTATAAAAATATTTCTAAAAAATATATTTTAATGTGTGCATTTAAAGTATTACTTCAAAAATCTTGCATGTGTTACATGTAAACCATTTCGCACGAAGATTATCGTCGACAGGGACAAGTCTTTCTGAGTGCGAACTGTCCATAGTCTATAATTGCCGATACTAATGCCACCTGTTCAGGCTGTTGAAAGCTGTGTGAACAAATACCGTAAAATAAGTTAAAAAATGATAATATAACAGGCAAACAAATGTTAAAAGGTAAAATTATCTTTATGATTTTTCTTTCAATTTTAGGTTTCCCAAAGGTTGCCAGGTTGCATCGACGCACACCCAGATCTCGATTATCGCACTCTGTTGAAAATGAGCCTGATTTTGTAAACAGAAAGGGTTATCATTCCTTGAATGTTCAGGTAACCCAGAGCAATGTTGATTGTCTGACCTATATGCAATGTACCATCCATCTTTTTTTTTTTTAATTTTAAAACATTTTTATTAAAGGAGAAACATTATTAGACTACAAAAATATTCATGTAAAATATTCTCAATTTTATTCATAATCACATACAACAATGAAGTATTGCAATTTGTAGAGTATTGAACATCAGACTTACTACCCTTCCCCAAAACAATTCCATAAATTGTAATAATAATAAAACAAAACAATTACTTGAATGTGTCTCATAGGTGACTCCATTTTTAAAAAATGATTCTGTTACACCTTATATTTTTACGCAAAACCCAATGACAACTTTACCATTATCGAAAAATTTAGTCAAAATTATGTAGGAATATATTTTAATTAGTTAACTTGAACAGAAAAGTTTCAATGTCCTTTTTAATGATTTCAGATGTATGCATGCACCCAATTCTCATCACTAACTGCAAGTATTAACTGGCCTGGCTCATGCCATGACTCGAGGATCTTCAGGGAAAGCAAATTGTCAAGAAAACTTTGAAAATGGTAAAGTATTTGTACTATGTACATGAAATTCTCTTTATAACAAGCATGAAATTTGGATAAATTTGAAATTTTCATATCAATCACATGAAATTATGAATTATTTTGGATACAGGACACTTTTTCCTCTTATTTCAATTCACTGACATCATGAAATGATTCTTTTCCAGGACTACACGATGGCATTCTTCTCGGGATTCAGGCTACCCATGCCGAGATACTTTATTGACGCTTCATACAACAACACTAATAATATTCGGCAATTAAAAGAAAAATTTAACTCAGCTTTGAGTAGGACACGGGTACTGGTTGAACAGACCTTGGAATATTGAAAGACGCATTTCCTTTGTCTCTCTAGAGGTCTTAGAACAACCACCAAGGGCTTGCAAGTACATTGTGGCTTGTGTTATCTTACACAACATTGGTATATTACAGTCTGATATAGTTATCAGTGATGTGGAAGAGTTGACACTGCAAGGCCCTGACAATCAGTTTGTGGACTTCCATGTCAATGATGGATTTGGCATCCTGAGATGTAATTAAGAAACTTACTTTTGCTTGAGTATCCCTGTTAGCTGCTTAGCTGCCAATAAAAGTGTAATTCAGTTGCAATTGTTCATGAAATGTTAAAAATACACTTTTGAGACATGTAATGAATGACAAAATGACATCACACCAGGGTTACAAGACAAGATTTTATTAGGGTCAAAAACCTAAAATAATACATGTCATTGACAATATAGTCATCTTCAGTACATGTCAGGATTATACACACAGTATAAATTGTTATTATTATGCAATGATTATGATACTGTCCAAGAGCAAGGGTAGATATAGTATACACTTATAAGTATTCATGCTTATTTCTTTCATACATTACATAATAAATACATTTTGTCAACGTTAAACGTAACTTCATTTCCACTTTTCAGCATTCTGACAAAGTTAAACATATTTGCATTTCAGAGGAGACTAGAGGATAAATAACGCTTGACATATTTCCTGATACTTAGGACAAATAAGTAATACATGATACTTGTCTTCAATGCCATGTGGACAAAAGGCCACATTTCCTATCAATAAATGGTATTTTAGGTATACTCATCTACCTTTCTCAATCATAAACATATGGGAACTGAGACTCCAAAACATGTCATGGCAGTTCTGTATTTTTAACATCAATATTAGATAAATATTTCTAAACAAAGAGTTTCCTAATATAAAGATACAATCTGGTTCAATTTCTAAAGTTGACAACTGATGTTTCCACATTTGGGAATATGTATCTCAACCCTCTGTGTATTGGGAACAAACTGAGCAAACCCAAAAACCAACCTAAAAAGGGCATCTCTCAACAAACTTGCCCCATTTTCTCAGTATTAGGATTTACATTCAAACTATCCAATAATGAATTATATATCAGAACAATATATCTATTTAAGCATTTCAAAAATCTTAATCCAATATTTGATAATAATGCGACAAGCTTCCTAAAACTTTCAGGAGATATGTACCTTAGTTCTCCATATAGAAATGATGATCGAGTTGACATTTTCACATATAGAATATGATTCATAACCTTTTAAATGTACCCTTTCAATGGCATGCGCTCTCCCATAAACGCAAACCTCACAGCAGAAAGAATGGGGCAAACAACTGATTGAAATAACTGGATATTGTACATCAGGAGTAACATATGCATTGGATATGAAATTATTTAAGAACCAACCTGCTCTTGACCTTGTTCCGACAAAGTTTTTACGAGCCAGGAATAACTTCCATGCATTGAAACTATTAAACCAAGACTTCTAAAATTTCTGACAACCTCAAGATTTGAACCATTAATGTCTAAGTTTCTGACTTTGCCTGCCTACCTCCCTTGGCTAAAAATAACAATCTTAGAGTTTTCAGTATTAATAGTCAATCCCCATTTTTGAACACTAAATATACATCATATCCAAACCATCTTGTAACCCTTCAATACTATTACTGAAGAGGAGAAACGACATACAGAAATAACAACCCCAGGTTTGTTTCAACAGTGAATAATTACAGTTCATGTAGAGATGAATATATTCATGGACATAGTATCTACTTAATAAATGACAACAAGTTCATGGACAAGGCTGGGTGCTTGTTGTATTTGACTGATAGTATTAATATTGATACTAATAACAATAGTAGTAGTAGGAAAGTACTTTTATGCTTATGACATCAGTGATATACAGAAAACTGTGCCTTTCAGGCCTTTAAGAGAATCCTGGACACCATGTTATATTGTGAGGTAGAAACTGCATTGTACAGTAGTGCAATTATGTCGTGCTCTCATAGTACTTTCCAAATATAGACAGAAAAACACTCACATTTATGATAAGTGTCACAAAAGTCAAATAGTGGTAGAAGGTATATCAAAGATTATCCAAAGTTGATAATGTAATGACAGGGTCCTACCATATAGCCAAGACTGATACTTTCACTCAGTGACAATTATGATTATTTAGCAAAGACTATGACAATGCTATTTACATTTGTATTTTTTATTGTTTTTAACAAGTGTGCATTGAAATATATCCCATTTCTGTGACATTCCAGAATAATTTAAGTAACTTTTAAACAGATAGAGTCAAAATTCCATCATCAAAATGACTTTAACAATTGTGAAGCAAATTTAGGAATATCTTAGGCTTTGAGAATGGATTTACCAATGTTAAGCACATGTATAATATTTCTTTGTTAAAATGTATGATGATAATAACATTCTTTGTAGGTAATATTATAGAATAGATGTTTAAAAAGAGTTCCCATCCAATACAACATTGGTCAAGTTACAACAGCAGCTCAAAAAGAAGATTTTTGGGGCATTTTTTCAATTTGTAGCAAAACCAACTGCTGCTGTAACTTTGCCAATTTAGTCTGTTCCTGAATGAGAACTCTATTTTTCCTTTACCCTTCTAGTTCTTTCTTTTCAAAATCAATTCTTCAGTCCTAGGTTTTGATTTTTGGTAGGTTAACAATACTGGTATCAATAAAAAGAAAAATCTACAAATGAGGTATCAATTGATGAAAACATTC